ATGGGAATTTATTATATGTAATTATAAACTTAATATATCATTCATTTATTCTGTATAAATAATTGCCTTATGCTGTCCATTCTAATTTTTCAAGAATTAACCTATCCTTATATAATTTGCTTACAAAAAGTAGTCAAAGAAACTGATTTAAAAACAAGAATTCTCACACTCAAGAAACTTTCAAAATCTGTTTACCATTGAAGTAGGATATTTCTACATTAGAGCATTTCAACATACCCAAATGCCTTAGTGACTGTAGCATGACTGGGTAGAAATGAATTTGGAAAAAACTTTCTATTCTTTTCTGATATGTATGCACATATTTAAAGTTTTCATACAACTTCCCACTCATGGCACACCCCTTCCTAGACTTTCTGAAGTTGGAAGACTAAAATACTATAGAAGATGTAGGGTGGTAGGAGGAAGAATCTCTCATGTTCAGAGAAGAGGACCAAAGAATCCTTTAGATCTTGTGATGCTATCCCAGGAACGAATTCTTAATAATAAAAACGCTTCTTATTATCAACCTAAATGATCCATATGTCCCTTTTTGTTCCTTTTTTCTACATGTACCTCTGGAAAACAAAATATTATTTTCTTGGTCTATCCGAAAGAAAATTGCTGTAACACTAATTTTATTGAGATAGTTTTCAAGGAAGCAGATGGACACATACACACACACACACACACACACACACACACAGAGTAAGCATTAGATCATATATAATAGTGGGATTTCCTCTTTATTTATTTTTTCCACTGTTCCTTCAATATGGGTTATACTGCATGGAGAAATTAGTATTCAGTCTGAGCTGGAGAAAAATTTAAGAACTTGTAAAGTGTGCCTTGCTTTTGGAGAAAGCTTTAATGAGTTTACTATCATCTCAATAGAAATAGTGTCTGGTAAGAAATCTTGAATGTATTCAGCTAGAAGTCTCTTAACTAGACCTTTTGTAGCATTAGGGAACCAAGCGTGCTGCGCTTCCAAGATCATCTTAGTTTATTTCCCCTAAATTTATTAGCATATTGCACTGTTTTACTTGGCTTTATGTTTCTCCAAATCACATCCAAACTTTGGCAGCTAATTAAAGAATTCTTGGCTAAATTAGAGTCCTTTATTTCCAAATATTGTAGTGTTTTCTTTTCCCTAAATCTAAATCTTCTACTGTGGATTTAATTGCCAATGTCTTTATCAGGTTGAATTATGATTGTTGATTTCTTCAATGTAATTTTTATAAGAGGTTCCAAATTTGCTAGCTGTGTAGGAGTATACAAATCAGGAATTGTTTGTATACTTTTTATATAAACAACACTTATATAGTTGAGGACCTATAGATAATGAATGGGCTGGCACCAGTTTTTTTCATAGTTGTATGAAACATGGATGAGAATATTTGATCTGTGATAGTTCATCTGCTGACAGTCCCTAGCTTAAGTCTATTTAATGTTTCCACTGATCCAGATGGACCAATGAAAACATGCAATGAACTGGTTTTCAGTTGATGAGTTGAGAGCCAAGGAATTTTCCTTCAATTCATGTACCCACACAGGAAAGAACTTCAGGTAAGTGCTAGACCATTTTAGGTAGTCCTATAACTACTGAGGCCACTGCATGCTGAATGAGCTGAAGCTTTCAAGTGGCCATCAAGCATAGACCCATGTAGGGTGAATCGCAATATTCCAGCTGTCAAGTGACAATGGCATGAGTAACCAAAAGCAAAGTTTCTTGTTCCATAAACAGCTGCAAGTTGTAACTATGTAAAGGTCCTCCTCAGCTCAGCGTCTATGGTGCAGTCCAGGTAGGAGGCATAAGTCCTGGAGAATCCCAGGTTTTGCAGTACCCCCCCACACAGGAAATTAGTACCGATACAAATAATTGATTAAATAAAAATAACAGTGGATGAACAATGAACTAAAGTAGGCTTGCTTGCCCTCCATGTTACTGCCCACATCAAGATCAGGTCTCTTTAAAAAGATGGAGTAAAAGCATCAATGGTTTTTGGTGGAAAACCATTTATTTTTATGGAAATGGTTCTATATTTGGATTAAGTCCAGTTGTGTTTGTCTACCAATGAAATATCATCCCCCCAAGGTGTGCATTCCCTATTTTGTGCATCCCCGTTCCTCAAAATCTGTTCTTTATAGATGAAAAGCAATAATCTCGTGTAAAGTTGTATGTACTCTTTTCTTAAGGAAAAAAAAGGGTGGAAAAAGCAAGTGACCAGTGTCATGGGAAGCTATGCTCCAAATGAGCCTTCAATTTCTTCTAAATATTCAAGAGCAGTAAACAAATCATAGTGCCTGATGGAAAGCAACCCTCCTAAGTTGGATTGCTCTTGATCCACAAGACTATCAGTCAGTACATTGCTTATTTCTTGAAATTGGAACCAAAGGTTCAACAAAAATAATATAAACGTTGTTTTACTGCAGTAACTAATACAGGAATGTTTCCACTGTATATTGTTGAATTCTGCAACTTAACACTACAAAAGCTTTCCGTAAACTGGAGCAGAAGTATTTTAGTATTAGCCCACAAAATATTTAATAACATTGTTGTTTAGAAGCTTAACAGCATAGATAAATATTTGGAAAATAACCAGCTAAAGAAGTTTACTGAACTGAGCAGAAGGGAGGATATGCATGAATTTTAAAGTGCACTCATTTACTTAAAACAATTATAGGTTATCTGTTCTTTATCCACATTTACAACCCAGATTCGCATGCACGAATCTGCCTGTATGATTCTATTCACATGCTATTCATACTCTTCACTACTTCTACAATATGAATATCAATACATTACACAGACCAATTCTTAATGTTGTTTGGCAACTACATCCTATGAATTGCTAGAGGTATTTGTGCTCTGTATATAACTTTTTTATGGTACATCTTACATTTCTAAATCTAAAAGATGATGTGCCTCATCTTGGCAGCCCATCTTCAGATCAGAATTTCAAAATGTTGTGGTAAAAATGGTCATTTGCAGTGCTGTGATTCTTGTGGCCAAAATCAGGGGCAAAACAGGTGATAGACAGAAGTAGGTGAGAAGGTAAACTTCTAAGTGATTTGTACAAGATCATCAAGAGTACATGGAAGCAACAACTGTAGCTCTGTTAATCAGTTAAATTCCTCATCAGCAGAAATACAGATGTAGATTTGAGCTTGTGCACAAAGAACATTCCAGAATAAGATTCCTGGGCTGAAGCAGGTAACTGGTTTTGAACCATCATTTGGTAAAGCTCCTTTGTGGACCTGTACCAAAAAACAAGGCAAGTCCCCCCCTCGGTTTGGGTAAACTGAGACTTGTAAATGATTAATTTAATTTAATTTATATGTCTTAAAGAGTTCTCAACCTTTGCAGTACAGCAATTGCCCACTATAGGTTCATGCAGGCAAAATGAGAAACAAAATCCAGAATGAGTTTTGACAGTGGCTCCACTTTGCCTGCACAAACCTGATTAAGTTAATGTGTGTGTGTGTGTAGTCCCCCAGATGCTTTTGATAACACCTCCCATGGAGGATCCCGATCCAGTTGTAGAACCTCGGTATTAAGGACAATTGTTTGCAAAGGATTGTCTGTTAGGAAAGGGGCATATAAAAAAATACATACATTAGAATATATGCATAAACATCTCTAACAGAGACCATGTTTGGCCCTGCATGTAGTGTTTTATATCATACAAGGAGATTATATGAGCAGAAAACATTTTCACTATAGAAACTGATCTTCCAAAAGTGGAAGCCCATGAAATTGGCAAGCAGGATAAGACAAAGACAGCAGATTAACTGATTCATTTTTATTCTCCTGTTCCATGTGATGTTAACTTGGGGGGAGGAGGGGGATGAAAGGTGGGGAGAGAGAAACAGAGAAGTAAAACACTTTCCTCTCTAACAGGCCAGAGCGTTTTTATACTTTATTTTTAAAATATGTGTGGGAGCATCACATAATTTGAGGTGGAATACAGTTAGTGAAGCATGGTAATTTCTAGCTTTTCAGTCATTTTAAAATCACATTAAAATTCATTCAGCTTATCCTTTGAAAACTCCATCTTAAACAAAACATCCCCAGCTATTTGTTCTATCATCTAAAACCTTACTGGGAAAAGTTTTTTGGACCTCTTAATTGGAATCTGTTTCCTGAATTTAATCCCATTGATCTTCTGTTTTACCATCAGTGAAAGAGAATGGAGGAGGGAGAGAGAGAATGAGTGATATGAAAAGGATAAATGACATGTAGAATTAAACAGCAGTAAGGTAGGTTGTAGACAGGTATGGGATTATGTATAGGGGAAGTACTTATGACTAAATTTTGCCTTTGCCAATATCTTTCAACAGCTATTCTTCCTGCATTAGAGCAACTGTGTGAGCAAATCCAGCCTAAGAAACGAAGAGTATATTACAACAAAGATTTCTAGGCGAACTTAGTTTGGAATTTTGGCCATAAAGAAATGAGGACTGTGATGCAGAAACAGAAAAGCATATTAAAACTCTCAGAGGGATTAAAAATACATTCTAATAAGCTTTTCTGCTTCTGCTTCTTAAGACTCATTGCTACTGCGTAGTCCAAGAAATGTGTCAACAAACTGGCTGCGTTTTATAGCTATTATGGCAGGCTGACCTAATCTTAAGGCCTTTTCTATGTTAGTCAAGGAGATGATGGAACCAGATGAGCATGGAACCTACAAACTGTTTATTGAGAAATATTACAATATTAAAGAGAGAGAGAGAGAGATCAGAATGTCTACTTATAACAAGAAAAAAAGTAAGGAAAAGGCTTAAAGTATTTTAATGTATTTTATATCAGAAGTTTCATTTAGGCCATCTAAATTAGCTGTGATATCTGGTTAATTGTTAAATCTATTGCCAGAAAATCTGGTAGAATACAGTGCTTCTTTCAATGATAACCTGACTTAAATAGGGGTATTTTGGAATACCGTCTTTCATAAAGGTATAAAAACATAAATGTTTGCTTTTTCTTTTTTTACAAATGAATTCAGATGCTTGGGGATATGAATAAAGTCATGTGAAGCTGGCCCAGACTCAAAGCAGACAGACTGGCCCTGCATGTCAACCACGGTGAGATCTATGAAGCCCAAAGGACAACTTAGTTATAAGTATACATTCTCTCCAAGGAGGATGAAAGCAAACTTCAATTTGATTTATTCCAAATTGTCAAACCTTTTAAGCCAGTTAGGACCAATTTTTGAATGAAGGGTAAGAAAAGCAAATTAATTTCACACAATGTATTCTCAAGGCAGGAAAATACTAGAAAGAGAAACCTTGTCTTATCTCGTCATTTCTAACACAATTGCCTGGTCTTGCTTTGTGGGAATAAAAGCTCTTTGTTCCTCTTTGTAATACATGTGAAATGATCATCAGTGGCTCTGTTCCATCAGCTTTGGGTAATAAATTATATTGAAAATACTTTAAAAGTTTAATTTATAGCAGTTAAGGCTTCACTGAAATGGATGATGATGATGATGATGATGATGATGATGATGATGATGATGACTAAAGTAATATAATAGTTTTTAAAGGTGAAGTCATAGAAAATAAGGAATGCCAGTGTAATGCTCAATTCCTTTATTTCAGTTATTCACAATATACCTCAATGTATGTCCCAAGTAAACAAAACCAAAGAATCCTACAACAGCCATGGGAACGCTTAGGACTAATCCAACTTTCTCCTTGGCTCACTGCCAGTACAGGCCACCCATCACTGCCTCCGTGCAGGAATGGATGATGTGCTTCTCCTGCAGCCTATTGCAAACCCACCCCTCCCCAGGGTTTTCCAGCGTCTGTTCAAAACGTCTGTTTCCAACCCAAGCTGTCTTAAGCCCTCCAGAGCAGATGGTCTCCAGTGCTTCCTTTGATCTAATGACAGTCCCAGCTCAGAAATGGCTGCAGAGCCTGGCAACCATCTTCCCTCTAGCAGCTAATTCCTGCCCTGGATAACAATTTCATCCTGGGTTGCTGGGCTGCTATGATCTCTGCTGGTTAGTCGTTACTGTTTGTTTGTTTTGTTGTTGCTGTTGTTGTTGTTGTTCAATAATCTTGCAAGTGATTCAAGAATGGCCCATTAAGTCAATGAACTATCCTCAACCCTAGAATCTCATGCTCCTTTCAAGAATTACATCTCCCAGGAGGCACCCTTTACATTTCTGCCCAGGCTGGATAGAAGATGTTCCCCTTGCTTTACCATTCCCTGCCCACAGTACAAAGCTTCCCTTTTCTTTTCTTTTTTAAACATCTTTACGTTAAAAGTTACCATTTTTTCCTTATGAAGTAGAACTGCATTAATATCAAAAGAGATAATGTGGGAAGGGAAGGCATCCATGTGGCCAAAGCAAAGGAAAGGCTCAGGGACTAGTAATGAGGGGCAGTCCCTAAAAAGAAAGGGAGGAAACAAGGGAATGACCCATCAGGTTCTGTGGTGGCCATAGTCAGAATTGATCACCAACCCAGTTCCATTGACAAGTCACTGCAATTCCTAATGGAATTTCTGAAATTGGTTTTAGAAACAGCAGGGAACAGCATGGGAGGCAGGCAGGTTGGGCTGCAATGCAGAAATGCCTTGAGTTCTGCCCAATCCCTTTCAAAGTGAACCAAAACTTCATTGCTCCCATTTCTTTCATTGGGACTTATGATGAGACACCTTCTGGTATAACACATTCCATTTTAAGCCAGATTGAGTTAAGATTAATACCACATTTACGTCCCTCTGCTCCATGATATTGCTTTAAATTAGGAATCAAGTTACCACTAGAATGAATTAAAGATGCATCACATTTACAAATATAATGAGGGTTTTATGCTATGCAACGTATTCCACATTGGGGGAAAGAACTAGAGATCAAACTATGGGATCAAAGGAAGCTGCTATATACAGGTCAGCCCATTAATTCATGCATCCCAGTATTGTTAACAATGGGTATCCCGCCTTAGGCATGAAAGCTGGCTGGGTGACTTTGGGCCAGTCACACTCTCTCAGCCCAACTTATCTCACAAGGTTGTTGTGGGGAAAATAGGATGAGGAAGGAGTATTGGGTATGTTCGTTGCCCTGAGTTATTTATAAAAATAATAAAGGTGGGATAAAAAAAATACATTTAAAAAAATAAGTGGCAGTGGCTCTCCAGGGTTTCAGGTAGGATTTTGGCTTGCCAAACGTTTGCTGCACTGCTAAGCCAGGGGAGAACATACGATAGACCCTCCAACACCTTGAGATGGTACTGCCAAATTTCAGTGGCAAAATGGCAAAATTTTGGCAATCTTAAAAAAATATTATTTTCTTCAAACTTAAGGGTGAGATAGAGAGAGGCAGTCAATGACTAAGCTATGATCCATAATTCATGCACGTGTTTCTTCAAATGCAGAAAGAAACTGCTATGAAAACTGATTGGAAAAGCATGAAGTAAGTCCTACAATGCATGGGTGAGTTGGTGTGATTTTGGGGGGGGGGGGGGGGTTTTTCCTTTTTTTTTTT